GGGATGAGATTATCTTGAGGTTAACGTATTTATGCTATTTATAACAAGCGATAAGTAAGTTCCATGAAGGGTAAAGGATACACGAATTAAAGAAAATGAGTTTTGTTGAAGGTTGTCGATTTGGGATAAAATACGGTCCGAGCTATAATACCCGATATTTATGGACCAGTACCATACAAGGTACCATATGACCATGATTCTATGATATATAAAGCATATTAAAAATAAGTAGAATTTTAAGTAATTTGAGACAATTCTTAATTATGCGGGTAATTGATTAATTACCGGATAACGGAATATTACCTAATTAATTAATTGGTTATGGGATAAGATTTAAAATTCCTCCACCCCCACGTGGCGTAAAGACACTTCCTAAAGATATGACTATTAGTCATCTTGATAGGTGGCAAATAATATGTTAGAAAGATATGACTCTTAGTCATTCTTGATAGGTGGCAAATAAGGTGTTAGTTACCAAAACACTTCAAATTCTAAGAATTTTCAATACAAACCATACTACAATCAGACGTGATTTTTTCATTTCTAACACCACAACGTGATTTCACATGATTCGTTTCTAACACTACAACGTGAATTCTTCAACCAACAAGATTTCTTAGTACAGTAGCAACGTGAGATTTTATAATTCTAAGAGAGTACGGTGCAACCTTTTCCAAGAATATTATACTGATTTTTACCTACTCCAGGTATGTTAAGGCTATCCCTTCTTTCTTTTGGCATGATCCAAATGATACAAAAAGAAACGAGCAAACGCACAACTTTCATAAACGACTCCATTCATAGAAATGCTAGGGGTCTCTATGTTCTAGATTCCCCATGTGACATATTATTATATCTTCTGTTTATGGGTCTTAGAATAATACGCAGTTGATAGAGTTTATCTGAAAGGAATGTTGAGATTATTAACATATTTTCATGCATTTCATTCATTATACATGTACTTTGACCCATGACCAGATGATTTTATATACGCGTATTTATATGTATATATATGTATATGGGATATGGGAAAAGGTTACGGCGTTATATACGCACCACCACCTGATCAGTTGGTATATGTTGATGATTTTGCCCACAATGGCAGAGATGATATGATGGGATTCCCTCAGAGGCTTGATGATGTTATGTACACCTATACCTATGCATGGCACGACATTCACACGCACGTGCATGATGTTATAACTATTTCAGGATTTGCAAAGTTATTTAGACTTACAGGCGGAATTCCTTATTCCATGTTTCATCTATGTCTCTTATGTACTGATTCTCATGCCTTACATACTCAGTACATTATTCGTATTGACGCCTTATTTCTCGGGACCTGCATTTCATGCCTGCAGGTACATGTAGGCAAGCTGACAGTCCCTCTACTTAGGATCCTTGATCAGCAAGAGTTGGCGTGCTCCACTTGATCCGGAGCTGCTTTTGATGTTGATACGATATGCTTGTATACATTATGGATATGACATGGCCTAGTCCCGTCCTTGCACAGTTGTATTTTCTATTAGAGGTTTGTAGTCATTTATGTATAGTCAGATAGTATGTGGCATTGTCGGCTTCCAGTTTTGGGTATATAGTTGTCTATAGCAGCCTTGCCGGCTCGCTCGGTGTATTTTGCATGTATATGTACATATGTCTTTTGGACAGGTTTCCCTCATGTATGTTATTCATGTTTATATCTTAAACGCATGCTTAAGGATGTTCGACATGTAGGATTCGGGCACCCGTCGCGGCCCATCGGTTTGGGTCATGACATCAGCTAGCACCGGTAAAGGATCGTATAAGTGGGAAAATCAAGATGGAGTCAAATTACCTATCAATTGGAATGTGAATCACCTCAAAATGTATTATTGCTGATGGATCCTTCCAATACTGAAAGTATGTGCTGCACACTTTTTCCCTTCGACGAGTTTTTGTCCTAATCGAATTTTTCTGGCAAGGTTTTTAACGAGGTAGCAAATGAATGCTTATGTACTATTAAAGATAGAAAGAATAAAATAAAGTCCTTTTTTTCTTATCTTATGTCTTATCCAAATGATGAGTTAATGTTATCATTTGAAAGTTAATTAAAACTTCAAATGCTTGTGCCGGAATGAAAAGGAGACGTCTTCTTCAAGAGAATCGTAAACGTAACTCTTATGAAAACCTCATAGTAAAGGGTAGATTCTGAAAGAGTTTATGCCCAGAATCAAAAGCTATCGGATGAAAATATACTTGAAGCTTTAATCGACTAAACGCAAAAGGAATATTGTTGCACAACACTTAAGCAAATTCTTATTTATTTATCAAGTGCCAAACTCGGTGAAAGATTTGTCACAATTACAAAATACCAAAAAAAAGTTATACATCATTGTTTCCAGAACCCAAAGGGAGAGATGGATCTACATTTCTCACGGTAGAGGAAGGCAGATCCAGTACCGGTTCGGGCCTTTCATCTTCTTCAGTCCCCCCTTCGGTTACCGAGTACTCGGAACCAGTACTCTAGGAGTCAGTCACAGTGGGTCGAACATGAAGATTTTGGCAAGCAGATAACTCCAATTCCTGGGCCTGAGCAATACAATCGTCTATGTTGGCGATGCTCGCTTTGGCGTCCTCCAAGGTCTTCCTCTTCATATGATATATGGTTATATCTTTTCAAAGACAAGGGAATCCTCTTGATCTTGGAGATTGGCCTGAAGTTTATCAATTTTGGCCTTGAGCTCGTCCCTTTCAGGTCTCATGGCGCTGAGGCGAGAGTCAATCTCAGTAGTTATAGTTAAGTGGATCCAGTTTTGCTCCATGACTCTCTTAAACCTCTCTTCAATTTTGGGCCTCTTCTCCTCGGCAACATTGACCTCATCGGTTTTGGAGCATAAGTCGGCCTTCAGTTTATTAATTTGCTCCTCAAAGGCGGACTAGCATTTGGCAGCAACGATTATAGCATCATGAAGCTCAGCCCACTTAGCCTTAGTTTCTTGAAGCTTTTTGTGTAATTGTGCAGCTTCTTGGTTGTGGACCATTCTATCTTGTCCGGTTTGCAGTATCTGAGCCTCAAGCTCATCCACCTGAGTAGTTTTTGCTTCCAGCACCAGGAGGCACGCGACAAGCTGGTTTTTATCAGCTAAGAGTTGATCCTGCTCGGAAGCAAGTCCTTGCTTATCGAGGATCAACCTTTGCAGGCCTTTAGAAGCAAGAAGGCTGGCCTGTAAAGAGAAGGGTGAAGTTAAGATTACCATTACAATGTGTAAGAAGAAAAGAAGATAGGAAAAAACTAGTACGATACATGCGCCGAACTATGCATAACATCGTTTATCAAACACTCTCCGGAAAGGGAACGCATTTTCTTCCAATATTTCTCCGAAGCCAGAGGCTTTAGATAGTTCGCAAGCTCCACCAACTTGGACAAAAGATGGCCGTCTTTCGAAATCGAAAGAGTGGCACTTCTCCTCCCTCGAGGATCTGGAGAAGGGATTGAATAGTCATGCCCCAAATTCCCGTGGTCGGGAGACCGAGGAGGAGAAGCATCCCTTTCTCAATCATCTGTTGCCGGTGGAGGAAATGCAATTGGTGCTGGTGAAATCCCTTTCTCGTTCATCCGAAATTATTTACTAAAGTCATTTTTCTTTTGTTTGTAACAACAAAATCAAACTATGCCTATAGCACTCAGAAGGTCACTCAACTAAATTTCTCAAACTTTTGATTGCCAATTACCTATTTTTCCCTCTAAATTATCTTTTTTTTTCTTTTTAACTATATAAATTTTTCTCTTTTTAATTTAAATTATGGGCTTCCCTATAGAATAAATAAATTTTATTTATAAAATAAAAAAAATAGTATTTAAGCATATATAATGTTGGAATAATAACATATTTCGCATAGTAAATAATTTGATTAGAACAATTTGTTCGTAATAACAATTTTGATGTTAACAACAAAAACTCAAAAATTATTTACAAAATTGAGAATGAAGTTTTATAATATATATTCTATGCACGTAGTATAAAAATAATTATTTGAAATAAAGGTATTCTTATAATATACATGTTATATTCTTGAAAATTATGCGCAATTATTTTATTATTCTGATATTATATACACTAGAATATTACTTTTTTATTTTAAATAAAATTTATTTTCTCTATAGGAAGTCCATAATGTAGATTAAAGAGAAAAAAATTATAATATTAATAAAGTTAAAAAAAGATAAAAGTTGATAATTGAGAGGGCAAAATAGGTATTTATAATTAAAAGTTTAAGAAATTTAGTTGAGAGACTTTCTAAGTGCTATAGGCATAGTTAAGTTACTTTTCTGTTACAAACGAAAGAAACATGACTTTACTAGATAATTTCGGATAATTGAGTGACCATTTGAGTAATAGACTCGTCAAAAATATGAGTGCCCGCTTTGTATTTCCGTGAAAGGAGTTTTCTTACCATTAGGAAGTAGAACCCCAAAGGAGTTTTCTTATATCAATTTATATGATATAATTTGATTCGGCACGAAATTTAACAAAAGAGTAATAACATTTGAAACTTATCGGCTTAAACATGTCATAACATTCATACGGCTATAAATTTTTTGAAACTTGTGATCTTAATTAAACACGATATAATAGTTGTGTGGTTGTAAAAGCTTTTTATTAAAGGTACGTAAAATAAAAAAAATTATTAATTGTTTTCAAATATAAAAATATGTCATTTTAATAAAAAGAACTACGTAATAAGGATATAGTATCAAGCAAATTAGAACGAATGAAGCATGAGTTAATAATTGGATCACTATACAAATGGAAGTACATATTTTAACCACCCAAATTTTGCATTAATTTTGTTAGATTATCATCATGTAGCTTCTAACAGATTTTGGGTTATGGGAGCGGAAAAGCTTGGTCTAAGGGAATACAATGGTGGAATATCTATCATGACCCGCAAATTACTGTCAATCATATTTTTATTTGGTTTTTCAACCTTTCTCCGATCTTATTTAAGCTCTTCGATGGTCAAGTTGTGGGTGGAACTTTAGCAAGAGAGAGAGAGGGGGAGAGGAGAGAGAGAGAACAGAGTGGAAAGGAATTATTCAAATATCTGTTCTTCTCTTGCCTTTGCCTCTTTTCAACAATAATCAAAGATGACGTTCGCAGGAACAACGCAAAAGTGCAGTGCTTGTGAGAAAACGGTGTATCTGGTGGATCGTCTTGCTGCTGATAATCGCATTTATCACAAGGCTTGCTTCAGGTGCTACCATTGCAATAGTACTCTCAAGGTATCCCTCACCCCTACAAAGTATTTATAGAAATACCGGGGACTCGAATCCCTCTCCATCCGCGAGGTCATAAGTTCTCTCTTGCATTATCTATAGATAAGAACGAATCAGATCGACTCTACTGATATGATACATGGAATGGGAGTTTGTGTTCTATTTAGTTAGGACCTTGTCTCCCTTTCGTTATCTTCCGCTCTCCTTGTATAGTTTGGGAAGGGGCCGTGTGGATTAATTTTGGGAGCTAAGTCGATGATCTTGGTGGTCTTGTGAGTGATTGATAAACTGCGATTGCTTTTTTCTTTAGGAAGTTCCATAGCTCCTCTGTGCTATGTTATTCTTAGATCTACCGGAACCGTTCATATTGATTTCGAAGTTCACTGGTTGTTTGGAAATTATGTTGTCAACTTGAACGTTTATACAAGAATCTTGAACCCAAGCCTCTTTCCGGGACAATACATGCAAGGAATAGAACAGAATATATATATATATATATATATATATATATATATATATATATATATATATATATATATGCTCTTTTCTTTGAAGGGCGTTTATTAATATTTCAACGAGCCTCGCTTCTTTTCTTTGAGTTTCTTTTTATCATTTTATTAAACTGTATGAGTATTCTTCAGGGAGCGCAATGATCTAAAGAATAGCCTACGGTAGATAGCTATGAATTTTATCTCCCTATAGTGGGTGTTGAAGACCAGTGAAGAAGAATTAGGCTCACGCGTGAGGAAAACTGATGTAATAATAAAATTAAGTTATTAAAGTATGCTCTTTTAAATAGCTTAAATTTTTCGATAAAAAGGTCACATATTCACTATAGTACCGGAGTAGGAAGGGGTCTTAAGTTCAAGTCTAACCTTTTTTATTAAAAAAAATAATTTTCACGTGTTTGACCCAAGGAAATATGAGCTTTGTGATCGAAAGCTAGTTCTGGCCTCTAATAAATTGTATTTTTTTTTTTTTGATTTTTTTCAGCTCAGTAATTTCAACTCCTTTGAGGGGGTAATTTACTGTAGGCCTCACTTTGATCAGCTTTTTAAGAGGACTGGCAGTTTGGACAAGAGTTTTGAAGGTATATATATAACTCATAAATAGTCTTAAATAAAAATTTTAGAAAATCAATATAACTTTGCTTCTTTGGTATATTTCAGGAACTCCGAAAGTCACAAAGCCAGAAAAACCTGTGGAAAACGAGGTAACATAATCAGATAATGATCCTCCTATCTCTGTGTTTAATTCCAATTTCTAAAATTTATAAATATATATATATATATGTTGAACAGAATGGTAGCGGGAGCAAAGTCTCAAATTTATTTGCAGGCACGAAGGAAAAATGTGTGGGCTGCACTAAAACTGTGTATCCGATTGAGAAGGTAACAACAATGAATCAAGTATTTATATATTTTCCCTTAGATCATCAAATACTTAAACAATTTTATTTATGTTGTTTAATTTAAGGTAAGTGTGAACGGAACAGCATACCATAAGGCCTGCTTCAAATGCAGTCATGGAGGCTGTACAATAAGCCCATCAAATTACATTGCACATGAAGGAAGGCTTTATTGCAAGCACCACCATATTCAACTCTTCAAGGAGAAAGGCAATTACAGCCAGCTTGAGTCGTCTGACCATGAAACTGACCCTGCTCCATCCACTCAATCATAAACTTAAAACAATATTCCTCAAATTTTTTTATCTCTTTCATTTCTCCCTATCTTTTCCTTGTCGACCTTAGCACACTGATTCTGGATTTTGTTCTTTCTTGCGGGGTAAATTCAGTTATATCTATCCATTTTGGTTGTACTTGTATGTATTCTTGTGGGTTTCTGTATATTGTAGCATTATGAAGCTTGTTTTAAAAATTGGACCAGAATCATTGTTTACCGTGAAAATGGTAATAACAATTAAATTTGATTATGGGACTCTAAAAATACGTGATCTATTTTTATGCTAGTTGTCATGCGGTTGATGCTATGTGTGAGACTTGGAAACGAGATAAGAGTTAGCAATAAGGTGATAACCAAACCGATAGGTTAACAATCGGGGCCTCGAGCTTGTCGATTTGGGGGCCTCGAGGTCGATTCCGATGCTCGGCTGGGAGCTATCGAGGGCAGTTGGAGAGCGATTAACAGTTATAATGAAATCAACGAAGGCTCTTTATGGCCAATGATAAGCAATAAACGATGAACAATAATGAAGATAATAAATGAAAGAAATAATATCAAGAGAATGTGTTAGAGAGCAGAGAGAATGTTCTTATGTATTTAGTATGGACCAACCAGTCCCTACAAATAAGGGTTCCCCTTTATATATGAGGGAGAACATAGTACAAAAACATTAATTACAAAGATATGGGACAGGTATAGCCACCTACTGCCCAGATACGTTTTCAGACTAGTTCACTAGGCTTTGTCAGCTCTAGTCACGTGCCTTGGTAACTCCACCTTGAATCACCGAGACCGGTGATTCACATTGTCCCGGGGCCGGTCATTACTCATAACGTCCTGAAGTCGTACTGTCTCGAAATCGACCGTCGAGGATTCTCGGAGTCGAACACTGGAAGCCCTCGAGATGCCGTGATGCTCGTGAAATCGGGCCATCGATTTGTACCGTATACAGATAGTCCCCGCGTTTCTTAGAGTGGAACAATGAGAAACGACTTTGATATCCATCTCTTCGAACTTCCCGTGATGATGCCATATTGATGGTGTAAGCCTTTGTGATAACCGAAACGTCCCGTGGGCTTGTCTTTTCAGCGTCCTTCAATGCTCTGCCGATTCCCATTCTTCAAAGCAAGAATACCGCTCTCGATTCAGTTTTCAATAACGCATTGATTGCGCCTGCCGATCCGTCTTTCAAAGGCATTGATGGCGTTGTCGGTCATACTATCACCCCCTATAAATGAGTGCCTTCTGGTATCATCTTTTTGTCCAAGTTCCTTTCAACATCTTTCCATCCCTTTCTTCTCACCATCCTCCTCTATTGCTACCCACCATGTTTGGGGACCACAACCTTAAGGTTACATGGAGGCGTTCTCATCAGCCACACCATGGCCTTTTGCCTGGGCTTTCCCTTGCCGAGCGAGTTTACACTGTCTTGTCGTTGTTGTTGTTGTTATGGTTGTTACAGCTGTCGTCGTTGGCTCGAAGTGATGAGATAAAGGGCCGACTTCTTCCGGCTTAGGAGGACGTTTGGACTCTACACCGCTGCTCGGGAGAGTGTTCAGACTATATACCGCTGCTCACTTTCCTACCCTGGCCTGGTGTGGCACTTCATCCCCTTATCTTTCCAAGCATGAAATGGCACAACCGGCCGCTAAACTTGCACGGCACAATGTCCCAGAAGGCGGACTTGAAGCAGACGTGCAAGTAGTGTTGGCGCTCGCCGAATCCTCTATTTCTGGCTTCGGCGGGCTGTATCTTTTTTCTGCTTCTTCTGCGTCACTTTCCTCTTCTCCATCTTCCCACTTTCCTCTTCTTCATCTTCGCCCTAGGGAATATTATTCTGGAGGACAGAGATGAGACCCTAGAGGAGGTGGCGGTCGAAGATATTGCCGCCGAGGATACATGCCCGAGGAGATGGTGCTCAAAGATGCTGCCGCTGGGGATGACCCTCGAGAATAGATTAGGCTCTTGTCGTATACTATATGTGTACCCTTTTTGCTTCTTTGTTTCTGTGTAAGGACCCCTCGTGGGCTTTTATAATCACATGTAAGGACCCCTCGGGGACTTCTGTAATCATATTTTTATGAATATAAAGATGTTTCTCCAATTTTGTCTTCGATGCCTGCTATATTTTCTTTATTTGCGTTTATGGAGACTCTGAACGCGTGACTCTACCGGTTGGTGCCAATATCGAGCCCAGATGTGAGTATTTTTTCCTGACTTTTGATTGATTAATACGGCTTCCTGTGGAACCCTTCGTTGTTCCTTTGATCGAGCCTGGATTGGACCGATAAACTCGGGTCGCCGAGGCCTTGACTTCGAGTTGAAAAGAAAATAATGTTTCGAGCCTTGAAACTGAGATTTACCATTTAGACCCGCGGTAATCTTTGAGGGGAAATTTTCTCAGAGGCCCGAGGATAGGGGCTGCCTTTAAGCTTTCGAGGGCAGTCCCCGAGTAGGGGTTCGTTCAAACTCGGGCCACCTGGAAACTTGCTTTGAACTTAGCGTAAATAGCCTTAAGTGCTTATTTCCTTCTTGAGAGGAGCCTTTGAGATTGGGTACTATCCTAAGTTTTGTAATGATGGCAATAGCTTTTTGGAGCCTAACTTCTTTTGATGGAGGTCCTCGAGGTCGGGTACCACCTCGGGACTTGTGACGATGTCGTTGGCTTCTTGGAGCCTAACTTCTTTTTGATGGAGGTCCTCGAGGTCGGGTACCACCTCGGGACTTGCAGTGGTACGGGGATCTTCGGCCCCAAATCATCACGTGGCGTTGCCTAATGTAGGATATGGCTGCAAAGCTATCGAGGCGATCCTGCCAGCCCAGCTTCCCGAAGTGATATCGGCCAGTGTTTTTAATCGGCCCCTAAGGCAGGTGGATCATCGCCGTTTAGTCAATATATAGGGCTGTTTCTGTTTTTTTTTTTTTTGATATCCCACCATTCTAAGTAGCTACCCTTCTTTCCTGCGTTAAGCCTTTCATTATTTCAGTACCAACGTACTTGCACAAATTCCTACTTTAGTTCTCTAATTTTGTCATCGCCATGACTGTTGCATCGGGGCCTGTGCGGCAGAGAGGGAGAGCTTCGCCTCCTGTATTCGGGACCAACGAGAGCATACCTTGAAGATTATTTCTTTGATAGGAGAAGAACACCTTAGGTTAGTGAGAAAAGACTGCGGATGGGGGGAAAAGGTAGCGTTACAGATACCTTCCCCGGATGAGGGCATCACGGATCGTTCCGATGGATTTTTGAACGTGTACATGTATCCTTTCACACTGGCGCCCTTGATAGGGTTGTGCTCGATTTCTGTCTAAAGTATCGGGTTACCCTGGCGCAGATTCATCCATCATTTTGGCGGATAGTACTGATGATGAGGTTCTTCGCGGAGAAAGCGGGGCTTGAGTTCACGCTCAGCCATCTTATCAGGCTGTACCGGCCTTTCCACCATCGAGGCCTGTTAACTCTACGATTTCGGTCGGCCATGCCTTTCGTTGTTGATGATGAAGAAGATGGAGACCGGGAGTGGATGAGTCGATTCGTCCAAGTTCGGACTGTTGACATTATCCCTGTGGAGTTTATGCCATTCCTCGAGGAATGGAATTATACACGTAAGTGGTACACTTCGTGCCCTCTTAGTTTTGTTTATGGCGAAGGCTGGCTTCGTAAACGTTCCTCCCTTTCCCTTTTTATAGCGATTTCGTGGACGTCGGGCGACGTTCCTGATCTACCGGATTGGATCTGGAAGTTGGCGACCCACTCGACCCGCGATAAGCATAAGTGGCGAGCTTTGCCCAGGGGAAGATGGGGAGCGAAGCATCATGGTACGTGTTGCGCATTTTTTTCTTTTCACTTTTTTCATTTGGAAGGGCGCTTTCCGTTTCTGCGTATTAATCTTGCTGTTGTAGGCATCGAAGAGCCTTCCGAGGTGAGGCCGTGCCCCTTTGGGGAAGGAGAAGGCTTGCTAGCTTCAGAGTTAAAAAACGATAGCAATAAGCAAGGGATACCTTTGCATGGCGACGGTGCTCAAAGCGAGGCGAACCCGGACCGGGGTCCCGGAGTGGAAGTCTCGATTGGGCCAACTGCGCCCGTGGTTTCTGACTTTGGAAAGGCAATTTCTCCTCCGCTGTCGTCCCCTTTTTTCCGTCGGAGGTATTTTGAGGGGTGACCGGAACCCAGGGTCATATGTGCCGAGTAGCCGTCCCTCGAACGGGGCCAACTTCTTTGGTGCCGAGGGATCCAAGCTAGCAGATGTGTGCTTGACCTTCGAGGAAGCCTAGCAGCTTCATTATGCGGTGAGTTTTGGCGCAGGTTTTTCGAGTTTCGTGCCTTCCCTTCCTTATTGTGTTTTCCATTGCAGGCTTTTGATAAGCTTAAGTCCGAGCTGCTTCGCCGTGAGGCCAGGCTTTGGAAAGCTTTGGATGAGGAGAAATCGCTTAGGCGCCTTTGCAAAGAAAGGGAAAACGAGCTGGCATTCTTACAGTATGAGGCGAGTCGGAGCTCGAATTATGAGAGCTATCTGAAGGAGCAGGTAGTTTTTTGCTCTGAGCGAGTGTGTGTTCTCTCTTCTAGCTTCTGAGGCTAATGTTTCGTTTATTACAGTTGCAGAAAAAGACGGAAGGCCTGGAGCGCCTTCGGAGCGAAGTTGGCCGAGCCAAGCGTGCGTATGGTGAGTTAAAGGCTCAGGCGGACGCTCAGGCTCCGGCGGAGAAGTGTGCTCTGGGCAAAGTCTCTGCTTTTGAGGTTCAACTTTGCTTAGTCCGTGATAATAGCTTGGTCCGGAAAGATATGATTACGAAGCTCGAGTCTGAGCTTTTGAAGACAAAGGTCGAGATCGTGGATGCCCGGGCTGAAGCCGTAATGAGCCGAACTAAGGCTGACTAGAAGGTGGCGGTCTATTTGAAGGACGTTGCCGATGCTCAAGCTGAGCTAAGAAGGACTCTTGACCGCAAGGAAAGGAGCAAGGAATATGCTCAGTATAAATCTCGAAGGAAAACCCTCGAAGAGATCCGTGCTAAGGGTTATGACCTCTCGGAAGAGGTAAAGCGGGCGAGGGCGAACGAACGTGGTGCTAAGGCACTTCTGTCCGATGCCGAGGATAGCGAGGATGAGGCTGATGGGTCATAGTCCCTAAGGGGGACGTAGGTTTCACTTTCTGATTCTGTACATAGTACTTTCAAAGCACGTTTTGTAAATGGAGCTTGTATTTTTTCGCATGTATGTATAGAGAGGATACCTCGCGGTTTTGTTTCTCC